AGCACAGGAAAGATATGGCAGGGTTCATACTGAGCCGCACAAAGCGGCACAGTTCCAGCACAGTTCGAGCGCTGTGCTGGAACTGTGCCGCCTTGTGCGGCTCAGTATGAACCGTGCCTATAGTGTAGACCCGGCCATCCCTGTCGCCAAACGACAACAAGTAAACAAGTTATGCGAGGTTTGCAAGATACAGTACTCTCAAATTTGCAAACTTTACTTTAGGTTATCAAAAAGAGCGCGACTGAGTGACTCAAGGCGGCAGCTGCGCCAGATGGCAACGACTATCCCGACCAAGAAGAGCTTCATTTGGTGTTCATTCGGTTGCGCTCCGAGCACATGCTTTATTACAAGTTTGATCCTCTTTTAAAAACTATCTCCCAAACAAGTATCGTAGTTTATTACATGATTCTCAGCCGCTCTGTTTGCATTTATTTCTCTACTGATTGTTCAAGAAAGCAGGAATTCGAGAGCAAACTAAAACTCAAGCATTTTAAAGAAAATAACAAGCATCATCAGAATTCAATTTTGATCGCATACATATCTTGTGTAACTTTGATTCAACTAACTTGGCACCATTAGGGCGGGGTTTTGTGATCTAATTGAGGCCGCTCGAGCCCGTGACGTACCTGCGTCTCTCTCGCGCGAGTGCTCTCTGATCATTACCTAGCCTTGATTAGGTCACGAAGCCCCGCCTTTGCAGATGCCAAGCCAGTTGAATCAAATGGTAGTTATTATTTCTGTGGTGACATTACTGTTTTTGCATCTCACAATCTATTGTTATGTAGTTTTAGATACATGTTGTGTTATTTGTTTATCGTTCATTTACCCTTAGTAAATGGTTTAATTACTCAAGTTTGAATTGAGGTACGCATAACCACGAGTCAGCCCGCGTGTCCTCTATTATTACCGTTGGTACTAGATGGTTATCGTTATGGATATAGCCGTATCCTCAACTCAATCCCCATGGTATTCTGCGCGACGCAACCGCAAGGCCCGCCTTCAGTGCGCCTCTGATCCTCTAGCTTCTGATGGAATTCCTCGCTTCTCTCTCATCTTCTTGTTCTTGTTGTACTATAATCCTTTTTTTTTTTCAAGTATAAGCAATCTGCGATAACCGGTGACGACGTTTCACGTGCTCTAATAATCCTGAGAGTCTCAATCTTAAGTAGTAGCCTTGTGTTTTCCATTTTTTTTTCTGAGAGGTTAAGATTTGAGTAAATTCAACGGAATATTCTTTCAAATGCTATACGAAATAAGTCCCTTTCGGCTTCGTTTGTGAAGTGTAGACGGTGCTTCAAGTCAAAATTAAGCCTTTTGAGAAGCCGGAGGGATTTGTTACCAGAAATGTCCACGCTTTTGAAATTTTACCATTCTATCTAAGTCTACGAAGAGGAACGTTTTAAGAAGGCTGTTGTTCTTGTTATGCTCTACGTATACTTATTACCGCTTATCCATCTGTGCAAGTTCGAATTTTGCATCCATTTAGTGAATTGAGGTACTAACGGAGGTTGCCTATGTTTTATTCTTGCATAGGCTTTCATTCGAAGTTAGTTTAGAGGTTTCCACTTTTTAGTACTCTCCTATGTTTGCCTAGATATGCTCATGAGTGAGGCGAGAAGCATCCAGAAAGGCGCGCTGCGGGTGGGCCGCAAAGCAACCTATGGCAGGCCGGAGTCCACACTATAATTCGCATCGCTTTGATTTACCGCATCTCCTTCATCGTGAAATGGAAATAAGTTCTACCGCAATGTTTACACGAAAATGGAAGCGCTTTGAAAATGAATGGTAAGAGATCAGTCTTATTCAAGATCGATAAACCAATAGAAGGATTGGAAGTTTCGCTGCGAGAAGTAACCTACGAGGTGGATAGTGTCGAAGACATATGTGTGCAAAGTTTGGCGGTGATCGATTCACACACAAAAGTTTCTATAAAAAACACACTAACTAACAATTTACAAACATTCAGTTTTATGTATGTGTAGATGTGTGAAGGGCTCTGATTCCGAGTGGATCATCAATAATTTCATCGAGAGAATAAAGCTCGCACCTGTTTAAGCTAAACTGTACACGAACTTTTTACGTGTTAACCGCGCATTTCCATACCCTACGACTATGAACGAAATCAAGTATTGTAGCAATAATTGGGCATGCCCCGGGTAAAAATCAAATGACACGGTCAAATGATACGAGCGATGCTCGCAGGATAATTTTTTCGCCCTTTCACTCAAATTTACGTTGCATTCTAAATAAGAAAAAACTACCGAGTGAGATCACTTCTCCGCTGTCTCTGCGGAAAGCATTCACAGACCCCTTCGGCATTCCAATACTTTAACAAATCCTTAATTGTTTTTTGGGAATAAGCAAAGAAGCCTGAGATTTTCGAAATCATGTCGCAACTGATTATATTTTACACCATCCTAAGATAGCTAGCTTTTTGTATGGGCTAAGCGACGCCAAAAAACGTAAAGTATGCGAGCTGCTTAACCGGTCCACTGATAATAGTACGTAGGTGAATCAGCTTTGGTAATTTTCGCCTACAATCACGTTTGGATGAGGGGAAGATTTTGAAAGAACTCTTACCTGTTCATGGAAAAACCTACCTAAATAACTCAACAGTAACTGGTTTCGATCCTGCTTCTTAATTGTACTAGTTCAACTTTTTGTTTCTAGTTCGCCTAAAGTAATGGCAAAGCTATTCACATCCATGGGAAAACTTTTGCAAAACAAATTCGAATTATGAAGGTTTTAGTTCAAAGCTGTTCTTAGCAGCTTGCAACGATGTTCAGAAGTAAACTGCTGTTTCGGTTGAAGTGAGCGTTTATCTGGACAACAACTCTAGGCAGTTTCTGATATGTGCTACTGTCCAGTGGCCAAGCAGCTTGTTCTTAAAAAGCTACATCTGCCAAACGAAGACCTAATCACTGCTGTTTATCTATGTTAGAGAGCAAGTCTTCATTAACAAACGCAGACCGTCGACTTTCTCGTAGCATTCATTTGGAGAACAGAAAATGAGGACACAAAATTAGTTGATACATGATTGATAAAATCCCTCATATCTTGCGGCACAGAAGACCTAGAAAAAAGTCGGCGGTCTACGATTCTATATGACCTCAGCTTTCGAATGGTATGTAACTTGTTGGGACAATTTGCCTCACTTACCCCTTTCACCTTACAAGGATGGGAGTAGCAGAGATATCTTTCACTTAGAAAGGGCCCGGCTCCCCCTATCGCACCTATGCCCTGAACCCGTTACGCGCAAGCCATTCTAACACGCGCGGACGAGCATGCGATCCTCTCTGACCCGTCAGGAAAAGCATGCCACAATTATAACTGCGAGGGTCCCGCGACGATCCTGCCTTTCTAATCATGGCGAGACATGCTCCCGTCCAAACTCAAAATGGAGGCTTTGGGGAATTGTGGTCCCTCTCCGAGGTGGATTTAGGAATTAGCGAAAACTTCAAGTCGAGAATCTGCCGAGCCGCTGCCTTTGAAGGCAGCGTCCAGGCAAGATCCATCCATCCAGATTAGCACATAGTTGTAAAGAGAGGCCCTTGAGTATCCTATCTGCGTTGGTCCAATCCTCTGATGTGCCCTCTAAAAGGAGATACGGGCCTGTGATACGTATTACAAGCCCCCCCCCCCTTCGTATTACAAAGTACCCCTGAGGACTAGTGCTTACGCAGGTGTGCGGTTGCATTGCAGTTGCAGCTCCTCCCGCTGGTATGGCGATGGGGACGAGCAATTCGAAACTCGTCCGCTCCTTGAAGAGAGGTCCCCAAGAACCGGGTTTTTTGGGAGTTTTGAACAATTTGGACTTTACAACTGTAATCAGGGCCACGAAAAGGCCCCAGAATGGCAGAAACATGAGAGGCGAAATTTTGCCCGGACGCTGCTTTTAAGGGAAGACGTACAGAGACAGAAACATAATCATGATGGAAAAGATGTGATCAATTTCAGCATCTTGATTTCACCCAACGACTATCTGCGCGATTCATGATCATCACGAAGAAGAGTTCGATGGCTTGCTAGTATGTTAGAAAATGATAAGTCATTTACCGAGTGATATCAATAATAACGTTACTGCTTGATCAAAACTTTCCTGCAAGGTCCTCTAGTATAGAACATGTGCGCGGTGTTCGCTCTAAGAAGAGATCAGATAGATTTTCTTCAGCAACATATATAAACATATATACTTGAATCAAAATTCCAGTCATTGATTATGTGATGTATTTATCATATAGCCTCGCTATATTGAGTGCTCTCTCACATTCAAAAATTATTTGAGCGAATATAAAAGCGAGTAAGATTATATAGAATCCTCTTGTTCTCATGACAGAAATTCGAGAGCAGCTTAAAATTTTCGATTTCCGGCAAGAATTTCGGGGGAAAAGGGATATCCAAGAGCGGAATGGAATTTAGCAAAATTTTTGGGCTTCTGCGAAGGTGGATTTGGATGTTGGGATAGGACTGCAATGTAAGAAAGAACACAATATTTAACAATTGACGACCGAGCCATTTTTGACCACATCAAAAGGGACTGATGATCTACGGCTGCGGTTTAGACCGTTTAACAGCTACCGCAATGCCGTGTCTTCTATATGACAACCAGGCCACCAGTGTTATCACTGCGTAGTAGCTACCTGAGAACTTTTCGTTTACACATGAATTGATGCACGAAACTGCTCAAAGGTGGTCAGGGCGTGCATACGCGCGGATGCACACGGTCGTCAACGTGTTAAAATAGACTGCGTTTCGATTGTGACTTCAAGTTTTGAAGATGATATATAGAAGCTTGGGCGAACTTAAAGTACGTTTGATTTGTATAGTTTGTTATAGTGGCTGTAGGTATGCGGCGGTGCCCTTTAAGAAAACAAGAGAGGATATTCAGATGTATCAATTGTAGAACAGTATCTTTATCGTAATTTTTTTCTATAAGTAGCGTTAGACACCTGCTGCTCAAACTCGACATTCCGCCATGCATATCCATCTAGGATGAAAAGCAAGTGAGTTGAAAGAACGAGGAAGTAGCAAGATAAAATCACAATCTCAAAAAAATCATTCTAAAAATTCAGGATGTTCTACTTCAATTTCCTCACGAGTCCAGTACGAATCCTGAGTTCCTTTTCGCTGAACTGATAAGGAAGCGATATTAGCAGCTTTTTCTACAGCATCACGTATGGAACAATCTGTATTTATCAAAAAGTAGATGAATGAGCCGCAGAAGCAGTCACCAGCTCCCTAAATGACGCAACATCTATCTATATGAGAAGCAATAACTATAAAAAAGCTAACCGTTGTATCGACGGCTTTCACCTTTTTTGATGGAATGTGCTCAATCTCCCCACCTTTTGAAGCTAGAATACATCCTAGAAAATATTGATTTATGCAACTTTTATCATTATGTACGTCTTAATCCAACAAGTTGGAGTGGTTCGGCAAGTCTGTGCGGTCAGGACCCAAACAGCTCAAGTTTGATACAGTGCTGCAGCGCATTTTACCGTGAATCGCACGGAAAAAAAGATGAAAAAATTATACAAAAGATGAGATGATCCAAACTAGGAACAAAAATCAAAACATATATATAATTATGAAGGAGTAAGTTTAGAAACTACAAACATCATCGTTTGATAGAAACTTCTATGGCGCATTCGGCACAGTATACAGTACCCACACTAATTATTCGACAGAAAACGCAAAAACTGACGATCAGCGTTTTTTTCGTTTTTTCTTCATAACTTCTTTCAGGTTGCATAAAATACGAATCTGAAGAAAGCATGATGTTCAGCTCGTCAAGATGAATCTTATGATATACTAAACTCACTATTCCGTTTTTAGCCTGCTCGATTTTTGCGTGAGGACGGGTTTTCGTAGTAGTGTAACTCAGCGAAGAACACACATGGTAGACTTTGGTAAACATGATTCGGTAGAGCTGTTCCCGTAGATTATCATGCGATAGCGATTGGAAAAGGATCCCTTTTCCATATAGAAAGATAGGCCGGTGAATTTTGAAAAAACCGATGTCTCTCAAATTTTGGCTGTAGGCCGTAACCGTACAGTAAGACGTTAATTTGCAAAGCAGGTGTGTTTTTCGTAATCAGCAGGCTAGATAAACCCTATGCGCAAGTTCCCCAAGGAATTCGGGCTCTTCGATTTTTTCTCGTTCTAGGCTCTGAACCTCGCCCAAGGGTTTTGGCTGAAATATTGATGATCTTGGATTGGCCGGAAACTTCGCCCATAGAGGTTTTCAGACTTGCTGATTACTAAAATAGTGCTCTTTTTGCAGTGCAAGTTCTTTTGGCAGGGTTATGCTGAGAGGAATGCTGCGACACTACGCGAGTTCGTGAATTTGTCTGCCCCTTTCGCGTATCTGTTGGACAGCTTACCTGCTCTTCTTTGCAATTTGAAATCACTAGAGAAAGTACTTTCAGAGCGTGCTTAAACTAGGCTCGTATCTGCATTGATCGCCAAACCGTGAGCTTGCTAACTCACGTCCTCATGAAAATCGTTCAAAATTTTAAGATCCCATATTTTGGCCAAATATTGCTGGGAATGATTACAGATGACTCTGATTGTAGATATTATGTTTCTATACGTAAACTGATAATTCTAATTCAGCATCTTGCTTACTCCCTGTGCCAATCACACATGTAGCTCAAAATTCGCAAAAAATCGATAGAGTCGGTAAAGGTGATTGTTTTTGAAAACTAATATCTAACCGTAAGCACCCTCACTCACCTATTTATACCAATTCTTGGCTCGGTAGCTCAAAGTTGGCAAAAAATCGATGAATCGATATCGACCGATGACGAAATGTAGTCTACGAGACCAGCTCAGCCCCTAAGTTGTGTGCAGAGTTTGGTCTGCATTGGTTCAGAGATGCAATTCTGTTGGGAGCATACGCACAGACACAGACACATAACAAACATTCACTTGAGTTTAGTATGTTAGAGGTAACAGTAACAATAACAGTTAGAGCTCTAAAGTCTGTCAAACTCATCATAAAAATCATAGGCGTCTTCTTGCAACCGTTCATCTCCAATTTTTTCTTTTACGAAAGGATGCAGCGATTGTGCGGCCGTTGCAGTCAGTGCAGTCAGCTGCAGTCTGCTGCAGTCAGTGCGGCAGTATGAAGCAACCCTAAAATAGCAAGACCAGCCTTAGAACTGCAAATAGTGAATGGTTCACGCTTTTATCTCTAACAAGTGGGAATAAAAGCGTGGCGATTGGAGATGAACGGTTGCAAGGATTTTTATGATGAGTTTGACAGACTGAGACTGACAGAGTTCTAACTGTTATTGTTACTGTTACCTCTAACATACTAAACTCAAGCGAATGTTTGTTATGTGTCTATGTCTGTGCGTATGCTCCCAACAGAATTGCAGCTTTGAACCAATGCAGACCAAACTCTGCACACAACTTAGGGGCTGAGCTGGTCTCGTAGACTACATTTCGTCATCGGTCGATATCGATTCATCGATTTTTTGCCAACTTTGAGCTACCGAGCCAAGAATTGGTATAAATAGGTGAGTGAGGGTGCTTACGGATAGATATTAGTTTTCAAAAACAATCACCTTTACCGACTCTATCGATTTTTTGCGAATTTTGAGGTACATGTGTGATTGGCACAGGGAGTAAGCAATTATCAATTTACGTATAGAAACATAATATCTACAATCAGAGTCATCTGTAATCATTCCCAGCAATATTTGGCCAAAATATGGGATCTTAAAATTTTGAACGATTTTCATGAGGACGTGAGTTAGCAAGCTCACGGTTTGGCGATCAATGCAGATACGGGCCTAGTTTAAGCACGCTCTGAAAGTACTTTCTCTAGTGATTTCAAATTGCAAAGAAGAGCAGGTAAGCTGTCCAACAGATACGCGAAAGGGGCAGACAAACTCACGAACTCGCGTAGTGTCGCAGCATTCCTCTCAGCATAACCCTGCCAAAAGAACTTGCACTGCAAAAAGAGCACTATTTTAGTAATCAGCAAGTCTGAAAACCCCTATGGGCGAAGTTTCCGGCCAATCCAAGATCATCAATATTTCAGCCAAAACCCTTCGGCGACGTTCAGAGCCTAGAACGAGAAAAAATCGAAGAGCCCGAATTCCTCGGGGAACTTGCGCATAGGGTTTATCTAGCCTGCTGATTACGAAAAACACACCTGCTTTGCAAATTAACGTCTTACTGTACGGTTACGGCCTACAGCCAAAATTTGAGAGACATCGGTTTTTTCAAAATTCACCGGCCTATCTTTCTATATGGAAAAGGGATCCTTTTCCAATCGCTAACGCATGATAATTTACGGGAACAGCTCTACCGAATCATGTTTACCAAAGTCTACCATGTGTGTTCTTCGCAGAGTTACACTACTACGAAACCCGTCCTCACGCAAAATCGAGCAGGCTGAAAACGGAATAGTAAGTGAGTTTAGTACATCAGAAGATTCACCTTAACGAGCTGAACATCATGCTTTCTTCAGATTCGTATTTTATGCAACCTGAAGGAAGTTATGAAGAAAAAACGAAAAAAACGCGGATCGTCAGTTTTTGCGTTTTCTGTCGAATAATTAGTGTGGGTACTGTAGTATACAGAATCAGCATACAACAGTCTCAATTTGCTCACCGCATAATTTTAGGGTATACTATATTTCTAAAACGCATTTGTTTCCTTTAAGTCTTAACATGTGCTCGACGATGAGGTCTTAGAGTCTAAAATTCCACTTCGTACAGATACGCCCACTATCTATTGACAAAAAAAATCACCTCGTGGTCCCAAGGTGATGATTGCGTGTTCCGGTCCCATAGTAAGCATTTGGGCAGCTGCTCTTCTAGCGTCATCCATACTATTTTGTTTGATACCCGTCAAGAATTCTGCCTGCAAATTTTTTTGCAATTATGCAACTCGGTAATACATTAGATAAACATATGCTGTCGACTGCAATCAATACATTGATTCACATAGGGTACAAAATGAGAAAAATCCTCACTTCATTCTCATTTGTACAAACGATATCCGTAAGAGGTAAAATTGACCTGTCCAGGTTTGGATCTCCAGGAGCAGGATTGAAAAATGTTTTCACTTAAATAGATTTTTTTTGCGAGGATCAATTAGATAAGGAGAGATACTCGTACCTCCGTGGTCCTTGGCAAGTTCGAAAATTCTTTTGTTTCCCCTCTGTGTAACTTCTCCTTGGATTGACACAATGGCGGCATTTTTGAGTGCTTCCTCGTGTTTTTCAGCAGTGTCGTCATCAATTTCCAAGTTGGCCCCCAATGTCACGACGATACAATTTTCGCCTGATTTTCTTTATTTTTTTGAGAGCTCGAACGGCGTACAGTCTCGCACTAACCATGAGCATTAACAATAAGAGTTGCTGTAGCTGTCTGGCCTGTTTTTGACGTTTCGAGATGGGTTGTGTCGACACCAGCTTCTTGTAGAGCACGTCTGTTGCTCTCTCCAAATATGTCGTCTCCTACCTAATAAAAGAGAAACTGGATGAAAGGGCATCTACATAAGAAAAATTGGAAAAATTCAGGAAATACGCCTACATTACGCCTGGACAGAAGGGAATTAGCGACAAGAGCTGAGTAACGATTTTTTACAAAAAAAATTATGATATAGCCAGTTCCTCACCTTCCCAATAAATTCTACTTCACCACCCAGTCTCGCAGCTGCAACGGCTGTGTTGGCACCTTTGCCACCATGGTTCATTTTGAAAGCATTTCCTCGTACACTTTCACCAGGTCGTGGAAATTCTTCTGTGTAACTGAAGAAAGTATGATCGAATTCCTCGAAATTGAGGGTTCACATTCATTTCTAATAAGGTAATTTAGAGACTGTAAAAATGATTAGCGCAGCTACGTTTTATGCTTTACAAACATAAAAACTCGAAACAAATTGTAAATACCCTTTGAATCAACTGGCTGGCGGCTGGAAGGCGGGACTAGTGACCTTATTGGTGCTCGATAATAAACAGAGAGCACGCGCGCGAAGAGACGCAGACTGTGTCGCGAGCGGAGCGGCATTAATTAGTCACAAACCCCGCCTTCCAGCCACCAAGCCAAATGAATCAAAGTTTAGTTAAGAAAATCCATACATAATTACAAAAATGCAAAGTTTGAGACTTCAACTTCTAACCTGACTAAATCATGAACGATACTGCCAAACACGACTATTTTCTTCGGTTGAGGCATTTAGCAAACTGGAATAGAAACGTAACACAAAGAAAACGATAACGAAATACTTGCAATAAACGAAATTCAAACGATAATTCTAACTTTGATTATTGTGTACTGAGAATGATTCTAGGTTCCACGACCTTTCCCTTTCCTGCCTCCCTCCATCTTGCGCCGTCTTATGTTCAAAATGATTTGAATAACTCTTATGTATAAAGCCCTATGTCTCATTTGCTTGTATGGCGCCCGTATGCTTGTGGTTTGAGAATTGTTTGAGAATTGATATGGGAGGGGGGGGGGAGTTGGAGAGCATACCGATCACAGAAACTTTAGCCATTTTGAAATATGACTCCAATCTTGCTTGCAGGCTTCAAACTGGAGCGTTGCCAATAAAAGTACTTTTGAGTTTGAGTACTGTTGCAGTTTACAAACAAATTATGCCTATATCGATGTCATTCATTCTATCGCGAACTCCAAGTTGGGAATTGAGAGATTTCAAGGGTTAGGTATAGGGCTTATCAATCGAAGTGTCGGCTGCACCAGCATCTCCATTCCCGCGCTGGACTCTGCGTCTCTTCCGCGGAATATGCTCTCTGAGCAGCTCTCCCCGGCGAGCGTGGGAAAGGCGGAGCCTCAATCGACTGGAAGTGATCAGAGAGCATGTTCCCGGAAGAGACGCAAAGCTCAGCGCGGGGAGATGCTGGTGCACCCGACACTTCAATTGATAAGCTCTGTATACATGTTGATTACATAAATACATACTATCTTAATGAACTCTTTTGACCTTAGATTTTTCCATTACGATAACCTAAAAAATAGCACAGATAGGTCACTGACTAGATGGCGAATCTCTAATCAAATCGACTTCGTAATTCAAACAATGACGAAAAAGTTCTGGAAGATGAGATGATAGGTATATTGGTAAGGACCGGTTTTGTATTAGGTCATTACCTATATAGGTTTCGTTACATGTAACAAAAAAAATCTTCACAACTTCACAAAAATTTTCTTCATTGCCATTTAGGTGAAGGATCATGGATTTTCCATATGTACAAGGTGTCCCAAAAGTCTTGTTGGCTAGTAATTTTATCGGATAAAAACAGTACGGAACATTGTAGAGATATAAAATTTGGATCACGCATTACTCACAATCAGACAATAACGAATGCAACACAATACTCGAATTTGGTAGAAGCAATTTTTTTGTCAACGGAAGCCTTCAAACTGTTGGCGATTGCCACTGCAGCGGCACGCAGTTAGTCATCATCAATCTCGTCTCACGCCTCTATGGAAACATTTCCTATCGCTTGGAATATGCGGTATGATAGAGCAAGCTTTCAGCTACAACATACCATAGAGAAAAAGTTTTGAGAAATTTGAATTTGAAATTGTATGAATTTTAACGTAGACCTGCGTAGACCTCACGCTAGAGGTTTTGAACATAAATGCAAAAAATCAGAACAGAAAATTGGCTACAATCTTATACATAGCTGTCTGTTTGTATGTATGTGCGGAATAGAAATTTTTATTTCTGATTCGATTTGGCCCAAACTTGGCACACATATACTTCGGGGCAGGAAGCTTGTCATAGGTTACTTTTCGTTATCAATCAATATCGATTTTGTCGATTTTATCGATCTTTTGCAAAGTTTAACCTACGTAGCTGGGATTTGGCACACGGGAGTAAGTGAGCATGCTGATTACGATTACAGTATAAGTTTTTGGATTCATCGATCACCTTTATCGACTTCATTGTTTTTTGGCCAAGTTAGAGCTACGGGGCTGGGGTTGGCACAAGGGGTAAGTGAGCATGCTGATTCTAACACAGCGGGAATAGGGAATTGGCATATAGAAGTGGGCACAGGGAAAGATTGTACAGGGATAGGGATAGGACCTTTATCATAGTCTTTTAACAGGGCCGAGCGGAGCCAGGTAAGCCAGCTGGTGTGTTTTAAACCAAGTTACGTCATTCAGGTTGAACTAAAATCTCATTTAGAAGACATAAGGAAAGAAAATTACTTTAGATCCAGTGTTCTGCTTTACCTCTAGAGACTCACAGATAATTTTGGAAACATAAGGACCGTGGCACGCACCCAAAATTTCCAATTTTTTTTCGCCTGTCTCGATAAATTGAATTTTTAAGTGCAGCTACAATAGTACTAGTAGTGCGAAGTCTCCTCTAAAATGTGGACGTGAAATTGTACGCAAATATTCCAAATACTTTGAGCTGCGGAATAAATTGTAAACCCGAGAAAATGGGTTTTTGCGGCTCTCACAAAGTCATGGTTCGGTAATTCCACTTTTTCCAATAACATATGAAAGTCATTTTGGTCTTGCAAAAGTGTATATTGTAAGGGATGATTGCAGCAAATCAAATTTGTGGCATAAATTTGAAGAAACTACTGTAATTCATAAGTTACTAGTTGGCAAACCCGGCTCCGCCCGGCCCTGTCAATAACATATTTGTAATTAGCATGCTCGATTACCCCCCCCCCCTGTGCCAACTTCCAGCCCCGTAGCTCAAATTTTGCAAAAAATCGATAAAATCGATATACTACTACTAATGCTTCCAGAAATCCAAGAAAGTCTAATGAAGGAGATTGAAAGAAATAAATAAAATCACTCAAAGAGAGTTCGGAATGCCATTGAGGAATGACCTCATGTTTGCCTGAATTAATGATCTTTGAAGGTGATAATGAGTCAATGGAAAGCCTTCGTCAAGTAGGTCAAACATGAGACTGTGCTTTTCTAGAGTTGTTAAAAGAAGAAAGCTTAACAAAACGTAACGACCAGCGACCAAAGTAATCATGAGTGCCAGCTATTAACGATATACACAAACAAGTAACATCAGATAACAAACGTCTAGATCTTTACTTCGACTTTTGGAGTAACCAAGACATCCGTAAAATTTTATTAGACCAGTTCGCTTCAAGATTCTTGCTGATACATATGCCTGGAAGCATTTTTTGAGTAGCATATCAAGAGCATAATTACCGTACTAAGGAGGTGAATAGAGAAAGGAAGAAAAGAAGGAGACGGATTTTGCTATTTATTCTTGCTGCTGGTATATTGCCTAGTCGAGTCGATAGTTCTGCACTGTTGGCAAAGCGTGACAGATAAAAACAGATGTTCACAGACAATCTAACTAGATGCAACCTAATTTTTCTACATTTAAAAACGAGATAATTCATTGAGAATGGCATCAAGATCTATTTGACTGCGAAGAATTTTACTGATAAATGAGAGAATATGTTTTTCTAAGCCACGATAGATGTAGAGACGGTGTCAACATAGACAATCAATAGCGATGTTGTCTCTTTACAATCACGTTGATCAGCGAGTTTTCCACCTTTCAGGCAGAATTTTGTATACTTCAACTTTGTATACTCTAATCAATAGCAAGGAAGATTTATTCTCTTGAGTACAGGTTTTCACGTAATCAAATGATTCTAACAGTTTTGTTCTGATTCAGACTACTCCCACTAGTCCGACCGAAATCAAAGGAGTTTTGTGCGGTGCACAATTTTTACGAACATTAGCGATAGCCAGGCCATCGTTTTTCTTCGCCGATCGCATCTCATTTGTGAAGTCCGCTCCAAAAGAAGTGAACGTACATTCAGGGACCAGGTAAAGCTTTGATCATGCTTTGATTATGTAATTTATATGATCACAGCTACTTGGCGTCTGAAATTTCTTTTCACTTTTCCCCACGTTTCTCGGTTTTGTTCTCGAGATCAAAAAATGGACTCTAAGAAATCAAGGTTTTAGTAACGACTGCATTTTGACGGATATAGAAAACGGCTGTCCAAAAAGAAAACAAGAAATCCAGACAACAGTAAATCAGTTGCAGGTTAGCAGGCGCGATGCGCCCACGCACGTCAAGAAACTATGATCGAATATCTGTTTATCTTATCAGTCTGGCCAACATAAATGGAAAAATAGACAACCAGCTGACACACAGACGCTCGTCAAGGTCTTGACTTTTTAGGTTGTGACGTGGGTTTCAGAATTTCAGCTGTTTTCAAACACCCGCCAAAAATTACAGATTTCTCTACCAGGATCGGTTTGTTCGGCTCTAGAGTTACGGCAAAGGTGACGGACAGCTCCACATCAGGAATATAGCCATTTCTGATTGGACAAAATAAAAAATAAAGGATTCCACCTTCAGTACTCCTGCGGGCATACGCCAAACGCATTCAAGTTCGTTATCCATGAGGCACTAAATGCTTGTGAGCTTTTGAGGTAAATTGGACCACTCGGTTGGCAAGCGGGTTTTTATCCTCCCAGACCATGCTACCAATCTACCATCCCGAGAAGAAAGCCTAATTAGCCCAGGGCGGGATCGAACTCTGGTTCGATTTGGTCGAGGCGGCGCCTCATACCCCTGCGCCACTCGTCGTTTTTGTTTGACACAGAAAGCGAAAGTTGAAAAGAGTCGAATTGCGAGCACCTTCCTAACTTTCTTTGCTGCATCTCGAATAGACTCTATAAATAAACCTTTATCACACGAGGCTCTGCGAAAACACGAAAGATTATGAAATTTGGTGTTGCCAGACAGATATAACGAGAAGAACGCAACAAGTACTTAAAGCCAATTATATAAGTTCGCTTACATATATTATAGCGTTTTCTCGATCAGATTCTCATGAAAAACAGATTCAAAGGGGTTGTTGCTAGAAATTATTGACATTATTAATCGTGAAAAGAAAACGAGTAGAACCGAATAAAGAAGAATCACGCTCTCTAAAAAAATACCCATAGATTTCAACAAGACTGGATGAGCGCAAATAATATTCTAAGACAAGCCCATCTGTATAGCGACCGTTCAGGGAATACTAAAATCCTATACATTTCTAACGGCTCAATTTCAAAAAAGAAATCACAAACAACGAGGACAAAAAAGGAAACACGAAGGTTTGAAGGGAGAGCTACCTAGAACTTCCCCACTCAGAGATTGCTATGAATTTATGACCAAGATCAACAGATGAATCTGCGAAAGAGAGAAAAACCGCAAAACGTGCAAACACTAAGATGGACAAAAGGTAGAAAAGAATAGAACAGACATTGATAAACAAAAAGTAGTTGTAAACCTGTCTGAACACGCAGATAACAATCATTTCCTGCTATGACAGGAAATCAAACAGAGCAGTCAAAAACGATAACCGAAAATAGAAGTAGATAGATCTAATATAGTATAATATAATGCGATTACATCGTATATAATGCCAAGGTTATATACATGAAGGATACCTGGCCATAGATATATTCAACGAAAGGCCTCCTTCATTCGCTAATCTCTCCATCTTGCATTGGTTCGGGGTTGCCGTTGATTTTGTTCACTGATAATGCGGTCACAGATGTGGTCAATAAGTTGGAATCCGTTTCCGCTTTTTCGGTAGGATCACAAGAGTAGTGCTTTCTGAATAAAATGATTCTGATGTTCAAACTTACCTTACCTTGCATACAAATTCCTGCATAAATGGAATATACGAAACTGATTATGAGATTCAAAGGTAAGATGATGGAACTAAGATTGTTTTAGAGAGCTTTTTAGCTCATCTGTATACGAAGTATTAACATTAAACAGCTGCCCCAAAAATCAAAACGCAGCAAAAATCAGATATCTACAAATTAGGCAAAGAATTGCCTCCAACTAGCATCATGAACTGCATAGTCAGCCAAAACCCCCAAATTGAGAAAGCACAGACAAAGCGTACCTGAATATCGACTTCGTAGGCACGCCGCGCTGTTTGTAAAAGAGTAAGTAGGCATCATCAGATTGTACATTGCTGAGGGATTGCTTTGATATGATCGAATCATCGAACAGGCGCCAGTCTAAGTACAGCCCATTAGATTATAAATACTTCACAATATTCTATTCAAATCTTACCAACTACAGTTTCGGTAGAGTCAAAACCAGCAAGACGCCCAATACTAACATAATGTCCAAAGTAGCTACTACCAGAATGGCAAACAACACCGGTTAAATCATAAATCTGTAAAGAAAATGTTTCGATCAATCGGTAAGAGCTAATGACTTACAGTATTCTGATGATCTGGCGCTGTTTCTGCCAAGAAGGGAGACATGTCGAGATTAGATATAGGGTAGATAACTCTGCGTTCGTCCTTACTTCTACGATGCATTGTTTGGTACGTGGCTATAAGCACAACGAAATCAGTTAAAGGCACCGTCCACCCAAGATTTCGACCCCATGTTTTTGCCGTTCCAGGGCCATCTCATACCCCTGATTCCGAATTTCAAGTCGGAAATCCGCGAAAACCACGAAAAACCCCTGTTTTCAGAGCCCGCAGAGCGAATTCTTCGGAACGGTGATTGGTTGGGCGCGCACGGATGGGCGGGACGAACGTCACGCCCACCCGAAAGGGGAGGAGTCAATGTGGCGAACCATCACCTGAAGCAATTTCCGAAGCAATTTTCTCGTTTCGGAAGCAGCTTTAGGCAGCGCGAGGTGGGCATTTATACAGTTGGGGGCCTCGCAGCTGCTAGGTATTTTAATCACACCAACTCCAATTTGGGTAGACGGTGCCTTTGAAGGAACACAATACCATATACCACGGGTGGTAGACCATTAAAGGCACCGCCCACCCCAAGTTACGGGTTTCGAGCTTTTAGCGCTTATAATAGTAGGACTTCCTATTAAGCCAATCCCAAGCCGCGGCATAAAATGTCGCTTTGAAAGCAAGAAAATCGCTTTGAATTAGCGAAGATGCATAAGGACCCCAACTCGGCACCGCCCCCTCCAGTAATGCTCGCCCATTCGTGCGCGCCCATTGAATCACCGTCTCGGAAAGCTGGGCTAGCTGTGGATTCTTCGCAACAGGGATTGTCGAGGTTTTCGCGGATTCTTGACTTCATAATCGGAATCAGTTATATGAGAAGGCCCAGAAACGATCAAAACATGGAAATCGAGAATCTGGGTAAACGGTGCCTTCAGTCTATTTCATCTTGAATCAACCAAAAGCCAAGATCTATATAGCTCTCACACGGATGGGCGATATAAATAGTACGAAAAAGAAGATAAAAATTTAATCGATAGGTGATGATCCCTCACCTGTATATACAAATCTTTTCAACTGCACTATAAGTACAGGCGGCAAACGGAACAGCTCCAATTTTTTCGTAGCTTCTACGTGATCACGACATTTGTTGCAATACCATGATTCTTCCGGCTTTAGCCGCTCCGTTTCTGAGAACATGCCCTGCGAATGTAATGATTGAGCAAACAATAGCAGACGGATGCAGGTACACAACCTACCAGCATGTCATGGAGCGTAGGATCGCCAGATGTTCCCGAAGCAAACTTCCTGAGGTGCTTGGCGAGCTGCTCCGATCTTTCAGTATCAATTTGCTGCAAAATCTTGGATAAAGCAAGATAAATAAAGGCTAATGTGTATGTATATCACTGCAAACTAAGCTACCAAGAGAACAAACCGTTTCATAACTAGTATGGATACATACCAGATTTCTTCTATTTTCTACGCTCATGAATGGTCTTCCGTTACGAAGATTATACCAATTAATCGAAAGATATGTTCCTGACTCAATATCGAGAGGCTCTCCTGAAGGGGGAATGATTAACCCTTAACTCATAATGCAATTTTACTACCTGTTTTGTCATCAACAATAGTATCACCAAGCACATGGGCTTGATCAGCGAGTTTTCGCACAAGGAACATTTTGAACTCCGGTTTTTTGCGTTGTTCTGGCAAAACAGTTTGCCTGCGAGGTGTTGATCCAGCCGTTGATGAAGGTGACGGCGAGGGCTTAAAGAAACATAGTGTAAGCATATAAAAGTTACGTAAATACGCTATATTAACACGTTGACGACCCTATGCATACGCACGTATGCACGCCCTGACTCCCGTTCAGCATTTTCGTGCATCCGCGCATATGCACGCTAGTTTTTTGGGTGTAAACGAAAAGTTTTGAGGTAACTTTTACGCAGTAATACTCTTGGTGGCCTGATTGTCTTACAGAACACAGGGCATCGCGGCAGCTGTTCAAAAATTTTGGCCGCAGATTTGGGTAGTATGTCCGTTTTTGATGTGGTAAATACATGTCGGTTACGTTTTTCCGATAAGGTGGAAACTCTGTATAGCGGTTTTGAAAGCAAACAAGGATGGATCAGGCAAAAAAACCTGTTATCACAATGCTTTTCTCAAAAAAGGATTGCTAATGTATAGCCACTGCATGGTTTATTGGAGGGAAAATCGAGGCAAAAACCTTGAGTGTAAGTTCTAGTAAGACTCTGTGATATACATGTTTCTCTAGACATAGTTTGCATGTTTTATGAATAAGCGTCAAAAAGACTCCCACATAATGTTTTCGTGCATACGCGCGTATGCACGGGCCAAATGCGCGAAGGACGTTAGTGTGAGTTTCGCCCAAAATGGCGCGATCGTCAACGTGTTAAGCAATTCAGTAGATCTACTGAAGATATAGTGTAAAGTGTAATAGATAGAAACGCTTTGATGCTTACCGATGCATTGGTGCGAAGCAGTGTCGGCGGTGCGCCAACCTTCTTATCCTCTTGTGTGCCATTCTCGCTGACTTCACGAGTGGACGAATCATTTTCTTCGCTCGAGTTAGAAAGTTGCGGCGGTTGGAAGATGTCAACAGAAAATCTAAAAAAGAGATATGTATCAAAAACAGGACCAACACAAACAGCTGAATTCCGAAAACAAGCGCTAACCTGCATCGTGCCTCAAGTACACGATTCAGATGTTGGTAGGTCAACTGACTACGAGGGAGAGAGACCATGAATGGTTGTCCAACATAGTCAGCCGTAGTTCTTCTGCGGCATTCATCACGATGACCTCCTGTATTCCAGTTTGCTAGCTGACACTCTCTGAAACTGAGTTTCTTAGCGAAGCAAGGGTATCGAATGGGTAGAATAGTGTTGCAAAAAGAAGAAGATCCATTCAGTGATGTCCCTAAACTCCATAAGTATCCGCTCATTATTAACTTGAAATTCTAGAAAACAAATGTGTTTATTGCAACAGTTCCCCCAAGGCGGGTGCAGTATAAATGTGTGTAACTTCCGCTCCCTTATTCTCCAACCCATTACTGCAAGTACAAGTAAAGTACATACTTATTGCAATAGTAGGCATTGTAGCAAGCTTCGCATGCCTTTAGTCTGCCCGTACTCCTGCCACATTCATTGCAAGCATAACGAAGCGTTGATGAGTAGAGTTGCCGTTGTACGACCAGCAATTCAATCACTGGCTCATTGCAGTCTGCCGCATCATGAACTTGGAAACTGAAAAATGCATAAATAGCCGCATATACAAAAGTACAAAAAAAAGTACGAAGTGAAAGGCACGACTGGAAATGTACTAGATAAAGCTTACGCATATAGCACATCTCCACTGCAGATATCACTAGCTTTGTCAAAAGGCGAGAAGATTTTCTGTATGCGGTGGCTGAATACTTCAACAAGACGAAGCTAAAACAAAACTTCTCGAAAAAAGAAGTCTTCCAAGAAGTGCTTTCTAGAGAAAAATCACTTGAAACTACAGGGAATAACATGACTCACAGCTTTTGTGGGCACTCGCACGACTTCAGAAAGAGCTGCAAGAAGATCTTGCACCGTACCCTCAGATGAATACTGCACCGTAATCTGCAATTGTGGCTGCTCGGTAGTAAGAAAGTCAGGAATCAGCAACATGTAGCTCTGTATCATGGAAAATATGCTAGGTTAAAAGTATGGGATGCAAATCACTCAAGAAATAAAATAGATCTACTTGCAATAAACACAGATGCGAAAAAAAAACTCAAAAGAAACTTGATCAAAAAGATTTTGAAATCCATTGCTCACCTCCAGAGGTTTCAGAAGAGGATCTATAGGCCAAAAATACAAGGTTGTCGACTTCTTGACTTTCGGAAAGGGCACTGGTAGGTATACGAAAGGATCGAAAGTTATGGACACCTGAAACAACTTAGTAGCAAGTAAGAAGAGAAAGTTTATGAAGGAACCACTAACTCGGTCACATTTCGGGCACTGCAAACGAGATTTCAGTTGACCGTGGAATAAGTCCACAAATATAGAGTCGTTTCTGAGTGTGTGATTGTACCAAGCTTCATTTGACACCTGAAGGTAGGAAAAACTTTGATAGAAAATATTTTCTGAGAAGAAAAAAAAAAGAGAAAGATGTATAAGCTAAGAAAATAAATCATACTGCGATATAACTCTCACATCAACATCCGATCTGCCATCTCCCTCAACTGTGGTTGTGAGTGGTTTTGCCTTCACCCGGTTGAGATCTTCATGAAGGCCATCCAGCAAGAATGATAGAAATTCGTGCGCATCATGTTGAGCAAAGTTCGCAAACTGAGATGCTTTTTCGGCGACAAGTTCCTAAGTAAGCAGAAATGATATTCACTTGTGATTCCGTACGCTCAGGAATGTCAACAAACCTTTATCTTAGCCGGTTCGATAGCGCGATTCTGACAATTCCACATGTGCCTCATAAAATCTGCAAAAGCCTCAGCAAGCCGGCCCTGCAAATGTTATTGCTGCCAATCTCCGTCAAGGAAAACTGAGACTTACCCTGAATCCAAGTGGATTATTCGGATTGATGTCCATTTTGTAGTATTTTTCCAAGAAGTATGTTTTTAGTTCAATGTTGTTTACCAGCATTTGCAGCGTAGCATTCATGAAGCATGTATTCCCAATGTTGCGCAGACCAGTAAAGCCAGATTGTACACTGGCTACACCACGATCCTCAAACGGTTGCACCTAAAATAATAATTAAACGGGGTCTATTTTTAATTGTGTTTTGAATCCATTCTCACCTCTGAACCTATTCTCACCGAACTTGTATCATTTTATCAATTTTAAAACACCTTGTGGCAAGAAAATTCACGTATCAAAGCCAAAAAATGTGATCAAATCAAAATTAACACCTTTTATCCATGGCTTTTGCATGCTATCGTTTCAGCAAGGGAAAGATGACCTCACCAAGCCATAAAACTCTCAAATGCAAGAACTGATCAAAAAGCTTTCTGTTGTCCAAAAAAGCCGAAAAATAGCTCAAATTTTACTTCTCGACCATCAAATTGATAGAAACATGCCGAGTTTGTAGAAAATATAGATAACGGCTCCAAAGCTGGTTCAGCTTTACCTATGGTTTCAATTGTCTGCTGCTTAAGATCGTTCTACTCGACCGCTTCAAATTCGCTTCTACCTATTTCCAAACTTGAATTTGACGAGCGTCAGCTGAGCAAGAGTATAGCACTTCATTTGTTGGGTTCCCACGTATTGAGGTTTGCACAAGCCTGATGTGTCAATAATTTTTGCGAGGATCAAATAACAATTTTGGTCAACGATGACAAATCACCAGCCCCGAACAAGTCGATTTTGAGAATTTGTGCTTACCCGGGCCTATTCGCTATTTTGAATCCGAAAATCCACACTGGAGAGCGTAAAACGGCGAAGAGGGGCTTTAACGCAGGAGGAAACGCAAAGGTGGGTGGGATCTTCCCCACTGTGATTCACGCTGCCAGCTTCCGGAGCGATCTTCTAGCTCCAATAAGTCAGGAATTCGCACTTGGCCTGTGGAGATGTCGGAACCGCTAGCGGAATTTCACAGTGGGAAAGACCCCACCCACTTCTGCCCTCCTGCGTTAGAGCCCTTTTTCGCCGTTATGGCGCTCTCCAATGTGGGTTTTCGATTCAGCATATCGAACAAGCCCGGGTATGCACAAAATCTCAAAATCGACTTCTTGCCCGGACACTACTTTCAAACAAGCTTCAAATTCCGACGAACTTGAAACTTCGTAGAACTTGAAAACATTGAGCAGCCGAAGGAAAGAAGTGATCATTACTGAAGTATGCAGCAGATTTGTAGCCGTTCCTTGCCTTAACTGTCAAAACACTGCTTACCGCTTTGTTATTTCTTCATGAAGATATGAAAAAACTGTGATACCTACATTTTTGTCAGTAGTGGAACGTGGTTTCCGTAAGACTCTGGTAATGAATTTTTGCTTTTGTAATATGTTAATAAAGCAAGAATTATGCTGCAGTGTCGACAGTCACAAATTTCAGAGATGTTCCGGTTTATAGAATTCTTGATAAACTTTCATAATTGATTACCGTGGCAGTTGGCTTGTATCCAGTGTACGATGAAGTGTATCTTGGCGGATCAGCGGGAACAGGTGGCACTGGAACTGCGCCGTTTCCTGCATAATCGGGACGTGGCAAGGTCCCAGCGGCGGCGAGTTCCGATCGTGACGATACAGCTTTTGAGAATTGGGCATAGCCAGGTGATGTTGTAGGAGTGGCTCCAGCACTCGAACGACCTGAATTAGAAGCAATCACAGCAATCGTGTTATGAAGCAAAAGCACAGCAAAAAAATACGTTGCAGATAAAAATTTTCCACAATAAAATTTTATTCACGTACAAATGTGCAGACAGAAGCAATAAAAATCCAAATATTTTGTTCAAGCAACTTCCAGTCTATTTTCTCTCTCGATGAAAATTGTCCAGCCTGTATACTAGTCTTCTTTGTGTAAAACCATGAAAAACACAAGCTTATGCAGAGGGCGAACACAGACTAGCAAACTGACGCATCTACTGAGCAAAAATTTTCTGTGCAAGGTTTTATACTTCTCCTTAAGTAGGGGAGAAATGCAGTCACTCAGAAAAAGGATAGAAGATTAGCCCAGAGCAGGAAAGCGAAAACTTCTCTCCACTGAACTTCATCCCTTCCCCTGCGAACTTCTCACTTCATGCATAAAGAGGATAAAGAAAAGTTGGAGAATTGGAACGCTTTTTTGAAAAATCTTTCGGTATAAAAACGGCTTGATGAATACAATCACGATTGATCATTTCACGTAAATGCTTATCCGCACCAGTGTATTTCTTCCTGTAGTCGGCAATGGGTGGTTCTTCCATTTCGTTACGCAAACGTTCACGTTCTTCCCATTCTTTATATTCTCGCATTTTCTCATCACGTTCGGCTCTCTCACGGGCTTGCTGATTTAGTTGAGCGACATTGACGCTTCTAAATATGAATCACAATAACTTCCCATCTGCAGAAATGAATGCAGATCTGTGAATTCGACCTACCGATAGCTGGCAATAGCCGAAGACGACCTGCTGCGTACAGTTGTGGGTGGTGAATTATTTGCCGCATTATTTTGAGATGTCATGCTACCAACTGCTGCCACTGGAGGGCCGGAAGCAGCAGATGATAAGGTGTAGCTGGATGGGCTATGACCCATAGTAGAGTAAGAACGAGCTCCTAAAAAGCATCGTTGAGATAAGACAAGCTCGGAAAAAAAGTACATCACTTGAGGAGCACAGATCGGCATTGCGACTCAAGAAAAAAGTGGATAATTTAAGAAAAGCAGGGGGTAATTGAATCGAAAAGCTATGAAACAAAACTGCCTTGGACTGAGAATTCCTAAGAAAAACATTACATGTGTAACCAGTCTCATACCGGATATTTTGAAACATGAATAAGATAGTGTAGAACCTTTCAATGTGAAATAATCTACAACAAAAACAAACCTGCGCCAGTCCCATAGCTCTGCGCATTTCCACCTACAAACGTTGATGGTGAGAAAACAGAGCTACGCGCAGCTGCTGGCCTGTAAAATGTCTCTTATATCTTCAGAAAATAGCAAAAAGTTCGAGCTGTACTTACGTCGTGTACAGCGACCTCTGATACCCAGGAGATACTGACGAAGAGCGCGTCAGTGCACTTCCTGTAGCTGCCGAGGAAGTGCCAGACCTTGTCAAGGTCATACTACCAGACGCTGAAAGGAGCAGCAATTCAAAAAAAAAAAATCAGACACCAAAAAGAGAGAAAGTCTCAAAAATAGAAGGTTCCGAATGTTACAACATAATTTATTAGATTTACCATAGCTTGGTTCATTGACGCCAGCAGAGCTAGGCGCTGGTGGCCTAGAAGATGGTGTGTACGACGAAGCAGAGTAGCGATACGAGCTCAAGCTGAAATTTCCAAAATAGAAAAATATATAAGGAACACTTAACACCTAAGCAAAAACTAACCTGGGGCCATAATTACGTGGTGTTGTGTAATTACTGGAACGGATAGCGGAAGCCGAGCTGCTCAGCCTGCCCCACTGACCACCTTCTTGTTTACGCATTACAAACTCGCGTCCCTTCGAGCAGATCTGAAGATTTGAAGCTATCTCTGACCAAATCTTGGAAAACATAACGAATGACGAAATGGTGCTTGGGGATACAAAGTCTGAGTATAGATTCAGGTTGTCCCGGAAATTCGTTCGCACCATTTTCAAGAATTCATAACTCTTCAAATTTTCAGCGAATGTACGAGCAAAATTTTGCGTAAGAGAGGGACTCATGCTCTTTGCATCTGTACCTGAACTGTTCGTTAATGTGTACAAATGAAGGAGGTAGAAGCTCAAAACCATCACTCAAAATTTGAATTTTTCGTGTAGGATCATAAAAAATCGGAAACTTGCAAGAAAAGTAGGAGCAGTCGGTATTGTAGGTTCTTTCACCAGCTCTTTCTAACAGTGCAAAGTTTGCGCCGATTAAGCGTCTCTATGAAAAGTTACGATTTTCGAGCAAGCAAAAAAAAAGCGAATTTGATTTATTTTGGCATTTTTCAGGGAAACCATAACTTTTCATAGAGACGCTCAATCGGCGTAAACTTTGCACTGTTAGAAAGAGCTGCTGAAAGAACCTACAATACCGACTGCTCCGATTTTTGTTGCAAGTTTCCGATTTTTTATGACCCTACACGAAAAATTCAAAATTTTGAGTGATTTTGGCTTTGAGCTTCTACCTCCTTCATTTGTACACATTAACGAACAGTTCAGGTGCAGATGCAAAGAGCATGAGCTCTTCTCTTACGCAAAATTTTGCTCGTACAAATTCGTTGAGAATTTGAAGAGTTGAATTTTTGAAAACGGTGCGAACGACTTTCGGGACAACTTAATAGAAGAACGGTTGAGTTTTACGTTCAAAAAGAAAGCAACTGAGATGGGCAAACTCAAAATTAATAATATCTGAATTTTTCATGAATTATCTCGGCTCGCATTTTCCTGATGTATACAAAGCTACGGCACAATGAAACAATGTTAATAGAATTTTCTACAAAACTCGCTCTGTGCCGCAAAAAGAGCTCCAAAAAAATTGGCTAGAATCATTTCACAAAAAATGTTACCAAAGCCAAGAACATTTCTTTATCATGATTACACAGATGAATTCAAAAATTTGGAGCCGTTACAAAAAGAGCTTCGTGCAGTCAACAGTGAACATTTGGAGGCTGCCAAATATCTGAATCAACGAAGTCATTCATGATAAGAGCTTTGCAGAGTTGCTTGAGGAATGTTTCCAAGACCTAAAAACAAAACACAGAATGGCGACCTCAAAAAATGCATTAGTAGAACGGCGAAAAATGTAAGTTGGCTTTAGTGGCTCCAAATAACTTCAGTGCAAACCACATCAAATGAAGCTTAACTGCACATTATTGACTCATCCGTGAAGAAATTATGGGTATTATCGAAAAAAAAACATCGAAAAATTATGACTGGGCATTTGCTACCAACCTGTAACGAATCCGTTTCTATTAGACCTGCAAGCTGAACACGCCATGCAAATGTAGTGCCTTGAACCTCACCGTATCTCTTCAGAAGTTTGTCATCAGGATCGCTGAACACGAAAACATATGAATATGTTCCCGTATGAGTTAGTAAATTGATGTGGGACAAAAAGGACAAAGGTTATAGAAACACTCAGAAGTTTCGGCAAAACTTAGGCAGTTAGTCAACGGATTTTTAGCTTGGAAAATGACTTGGAAGAAACGAAACGATTTCGAGAGATCCACTAAAAAAGGGCTCAGCTTGAGAAGAGAGAGGCAACCCCCTTCCAAGCACAAATCAACGGTAGAATGGATTACAGCACAGCATTCAATTATGTACCTGCTGAACTTTCGACAATAAAATCACCGTTTTCGAAAAAAAACGGTATATAACTGCAGCTAAATGCTTACAACCCAAGTAAGCTAAAATAACATGCATTGAGCGACAAAAAATAAATAAATGGTTCTATTACTGATCACAAATAAGATCGAGCTATAAATTCTGAACAAAAGCTTCAAATGAAATCAAATGGGGTTGACTTTGGATTAAAATGAAGCAATAGAGAGTAGGGTACTCAAGTTTCAACACTAACCATTAAATCGTGCTGAACTTTGTGAACTACATCAGAGCCTCCTAATGGTAGGTAAGTACTATTCTCAGTGCAAGACAACAGCTGTCGTACTTGAGACAGATTCCAGACTTAGGTAAAGCGCAAGATACGCCCCCAACATGAGTACACCTATGAGTAATCGAATTGGAATGAATATGACGCGTGATGCCAGTACAAGCAGGTAACTCTTCGATAAATCAAGCATAGCTTGAGGACTTAGATAATTGTGAACAAAATTCTTGATTTCAAGCGAGCATAGAGAATCATGAACGAATTCTTGATTTGAGAGCATCATTGCGACTGCACGAAGTGTGTAACGAGACGGTCAGCGGGACCAAGTCGACCTAGCACAACACAGCTATTTCCAGCGCCGCTATACATAATAGCGTTTTGCTCAGATCAATCGCAGTGCTCAGCAGCCTCAGCCGTCAGTCTAGCAGCACATTATTACAACGTATTGAAGTGAGACGTTGCCGCTGAGCATAGGTGATGCTTTCGTGGGCGACGATTTTAACTATACACACGAAGTTCATTCAAACACTATAGATTATAGACCAAAGATGACCTGCTGAATCCTAAGTAAGTAATAAAAACTGGACCTGAAAAACAGGACAAAAAAGGCAGAAAAATCCGATTTGCGCCTGGCCAGAAATCAATGAACAAGATTACAAACCTATGTGCTACTCTACCAATTCCAGAATTACATTTTTAGAACAGAAATCAGCGGTAACGGTGTTTTGCCCTATAATGTGTATGCCACACTACACATAAAGTACAAAATAAAAGCATGTAGATGAGAATAACAACAGTTAGTTGGTAATTGAATTAAATGCAGCAGCATGTCCCAAATTTGCAAATGTTTAATGTCCGTATCAAAAATGAAACACAAATGTATCCCATGTATAAAAGGTGAAGTTTCGTATTCGCAAATATACATCTCAAAACTATGGTATCGTGCTGCAGTAATGAAAATAAGATGGCACCATTTCTATATAAATATAATTCTCGTTTTTCAGTTGTTCAATGTGACAATATTCGTCATAAGCATAAACTCGTACTATGCTTGCGACAATTCCCCGAAAGATTCTAAGCTTCGAAATCCACGCACACTAGGCGAAGATCAATACGCTGCTCAAAAACAAACACGAGAAGAGAACTTTTTAGCTTGCACACCTTGACTGTATGCAGAGGAATATAGAGCGAGATAACAACCGTGGCTGTCTGCAAAGCAAAATCCAACGTAAAAACAAGTGCATTGCGCGTTAATAAAAAAAGAGCAGACAAAAACGAAAGGTAGAGAGAGAAGGGTCTAGAAATTTGACAAACACTTGAGTAAAAATGACTAGTTGTAAAGGACACTCACAGAGGAATTCAACGAAAGAAAAAGGTCGCGCACTGATTGCATTTGTTACAGAAATGAACTAATTTCGTAACGCACAACTCTCATGAGTACGGCGGAAGTGCAGATTTCAGAATTATTCCCGCGGAACACACCCATAGCGCACTATCCATATGATTTGAAGGATTTTGAGAAAGACAGATGTCAATCGAAGTTAGCAGAACATTCACAAAGGTATATGCAAACAAGCAGAGAGTGCGTGCGAACATCGGGGCTTCGCCGCTGTCGCCCGCGCACATCTCCTCACGTGCTCCTCAACTAGTCAGCGTTCTGGCATTTTGTGTTTTACACGTTGTTGGAAGGGCAGACAGCCTTGATATCGTTTTACTATAAGCAAAAAGCCTGGGACACAAACAACAACAAAAAAATGTAAGTGGGTGGCCACGACCAGATTTGAACGCGATTCCCCACTGGTCCGTTTGAAAACGGCAAACACAATGGAACAAATTTAGCAAAACGGAAACGGTTGGGAGTTCAAAGCGAGGGTGCGAAAAGTAGTTGGTCCATGAAACATCACAAGCCGCGTGAGCCAGTTAACAGGGAGCCGTACTATGGCAACCAGCCGCATACACTGTACACGGCAAAAACCACGGAAGCGGAAGACAAGCATGGAAACAAAACAGAAGACCATCATTCATCGACATTTGTTGCACAACGTTCTATGAACGAAATAAAAATCGATACCTGCTCGAGAATCGAAGCTCTATCGCGTTCGGCTCAAGTATGATCTCGAGGATGTTGATATTACGATGAGTAACGCGTAGAACACCAGTGCTTTCGGTTTCGTAGAAGCCAAACTTTAGCGAATCTGAAGAAAACAATGGTAACATGAATCATAGACTTGGAATCTGAGCTAGTCGAGACACATAGAAAATTTTATATCTCGCGTGATTCGACAGGTATTGCTGTAATCCAAATATTCGATTCAACAAAGAGTGTCTCTATTGATACAATTTAGTAGTCCAGTGAGGAGAATAATTTTCTTTTCCTGGGGTTGAACAATGATTCGCAATCCAAATTCTTTCAAAAAAGTGTAGATAAATGGTAGCATACACCCATTCCAAAAAATACAAAAAACTAAAGATTTTGAGTTTTTTGACGCAACTATGGTGTAAACAATGATGACTTACCAACACAACAATAAGCCTTCAATGTTACCGACTTTCTGACACCAAGAATGGAAGAAAAAAATGAAGAAAAAGGACGTAACGGTTTGAGCACTAAAAAAGTTTTAAGCTTAGTGGTGATTCATGCTTGAAACAAGATATGCGATGATAATCATATAAATCCTACAGTGTTGCTCGTAATTGTTGTAATAAGAAAATTTTGTGGGCCATACCGTACATCAAGATTCGTACAGCGCGCACATCATGCATCCTCAAAAAAGTAAAAGACGTTGACGATTTTTTGCACATATTAAAGTGAGCAGAAAAATAGTCAAAGGGATCTGTTGCAGCAAAACACATACAAATTAGAGTTGAGATATAAGCACAAGATTTGAATTAAGTGATGCTAGAGAAAGATAAATCAGGTGCTAGACTACACAATGGAATGTGCTCCTACACAGAGATATCTGTCGCCTGATAACCCATTTTACGAATTGTCGCTGATATGGAATGTGCTCCTACAGTAATAAAGACTGATACCACAAAACCAATTCTACGTTTCCCAAAACGTGTTCCTTTTTTGGGATGCTTTTTCACATCCCAGATAATAGCAAATCTAAGACCTTAGGCTTTAATTAATTTCTTCCTAGTAAGCATAAAATGAACGAGGTACAGAGTGAGCGTTCATCGCTTCGGCCTTCACTTTATTCCAAAGTATCGCATACTCATTCCCGGAACAATGTGAGTAGGCGGCCAGTGAACATTCCGAGAAAGAAAAACGCTTTCGTCTTCATTCTATGCGGCCATTTGTTAGGGAAGACAATAGCTCAGGAACAACAACGAGAAAATTTTTTCAATCTTCAGTTTTGATGGGTTAATAAAGAGCTTACATATAACTGTATGCAAGATTACCACTAACAAGAAGGCTTATGCGAGGGAAGAATGAGCGACGAAACAATGAAGTCTTGCAAGATGAAGTCGAAAAGAATGAAAAACTGTGAGAGATGGAGTGGTGTATTCAGCGCTCGAGTGCAAGCAAGCCAGCTCACGGCGTTCCTGGATGCTCAAACGTAGCAAGAAAGCAAAGGAGAAGACATGCGAAGCAATTGAGTGAAGAAACAGGATGATATCAAAATAAATTGTTAATGGATAGAGAAAACATAGTTGCTGGCATGCAATCATACAAGCAAAAAGCTGACTCCAAAAAGTTCCGTTAAATTTGAAACTCTAACAAAGATACTACAAACAGCCGCAAAAGCGAAGTCGGAAATCTTCAAGATGATGAACGATCATCCATACCTCAAATTCAAAAGCACAGTCTTGCGGCATGGTAGAGAGTGTTTAAGAAGGCGAGGATCTTGATACTGGAGCCTACGAATCACAACGAAGGCGTAGACAACTAATAAATAGAAAAATTCAGTACGCACGCCCTCGTGATGAATGAAATGACTCATGAGCCCATTCTTATACCAGATTCTGATCAATACTGCATCTGTTTGAAAAACTTCCTCGAACTCGCATGATTCAGTGATGATCGATCACATAACACATAGTTACGATGGGCAATTTCGCATGACTGAGAGGAATATAGCAACTTTTTGATTACGATAATCGTCTTCTGTGCCACATACAACCACTTCTTACTGACCACTATCCTGAACTAATGTGATTGAATTATGCATTTGATAGGAATATAAATTACGTCTAGTACGAGACACAAAGTCGTACAAGCTCTATCCAGAAAAAAAAAAAACTCGAATTTTTGTAAGGTAAACGTTGACAAATTACAGTCCATATGGAAATTTCCTCTGCATATCTAGCTTCTTCACAACGAATTCAACAAGATACAAAAATCAAGGTAAATAGCTAAAAATTACTCGAGGATTTTACGGCTACAACTATCTGCTATCTTGACCGCACATCATCCTAAAAGCGCTTCAAAGAAAGGACATCATAGGATACTAAGCGCAGAGTGAAAGAACAATCGATTTCAAGAACATCATTCAGACCGAGGCACTTCGCATATGTTGGCTTTGGTCAACATAATGCTATCTCAGACATCCACCAACGGAGATTTTTGCGAAGAGCTTCGCAGAAAAAGGATGAAAGACGAAAATTTTTTAAGACAATAAAAGATGAAAAATTTTCAACAAAATGCTCGGGACATGGATATAAGGCCACCAGCCTGAACATTTAAGCCGGTAGAAAAAAGCAGATGCAACGTCACTAAGAAATGTAAACTTTCAAGCGAATGGCCAATCGTTATAAAGTTACCTCCAACACAGCACACGCCCGCCGAAAACCATTTAGCATATTGCAAAACTTTTCAATTTGCATTCGTTTCCAAATGTTCGACCCCAGTCTCGCAATTACTAGTGATATATTCAACATAAAATTCATTAAAAAAGCAATGGAGTGCAGGCCTTTCGGATTTTCATGTATTGTAAAATAGCGAATACCCCTCTGATGATGAGCCAACAACCCAAAACCCCTTTTTCTTTCGGAATCCGAATCAAAACAGATGCAGATTTGGGTGAGCACTGATTCTAAGGGGCGCAATGTTGACGTATATTTTTGTCTAAAACTAAAGTATTGTAAAAAAATCTGTACAATCGAAAAAGTGCAAGGTGTATCTCTGACTAGAGCTCATTGCGTTCGAGTAGGTTAGAATCATGATTTTTGCGTCATGCAAATAACAGTTCTATTCTAGGCAATATGGATACGCATGTGAAAAGCATGTGGTTCCTGATAACTTCCAGCAACTACATTATACAGATGTTATTCTACATGATCTGGTAGAAAATTTGAAATACTCTCACCCTTTTGTGAAGTTTATATATCTGATAGATATGATCTGACGAACATGAAACAGAGGACTAATAGACAAACGCGAATACAGGAAAAATGCCCAAGGTGACTTCTAGGGCACTAATTGTAAGAAACTGCGAATAAAGTTACGACAAGGAACGGCTGATGAGTTGCAAGCTGACTTCAACACGGCAGCACGGCAGATTAGCGAGGCCTGAGAGTGTTAGAGCACGGAGCTTCGGAGGAGCACGAGGCTTCAGAGTGAGAGCTAGGGACGCAGATCTCGATACGTAGTCGACAAGGAGGATAGGCGCATTGTTGACTGAGACAATACACTTAACAAGTTCAGCATCTCTGGATTTCTTGGAGGTCCTTAGGAAAGAGAATAACTAACGGAAAAATTCCAATGAATTACCCGTAACCAGCCTGTACTAGTAGACTTACAAGGGAAGATACCAACAATAGTCGGCGATTGAGGATGAGATGTATATCAGTGGACGCAACTTCAAACTTGATTCCAAATCTGCTTTCCTTTTTTGCGGAACAAGTTTTCCAAAGAAGTTATGAGCCTTCGAATGTTCAAATTTGTCAAGGTTTAGGTGGCCTAAAATTGGCGAAAAGCTGTAAAAACACCGGAAAGCGGAAAATCAGTTTTTTATCGAGTATATTGTTTGCAAGGAAGGAACAAAGCCGTTGGAAATTGCATAGGTATTGTTTCAGAGTTTTCGTTAATTCTAAGCCACTCAGTGCTTGGCAAATTTGGACATTCAAACGTTCATAAATTCTTTCGGATACCTATTCCGCAAAAAAGAAAAGCAAAATTGGAATCAGCGTTCAAAGACGCGTTTGATGATATAGATCACATCTTCAATCGCCGACTAATTTTGGTGTCTTCCCTTATTAGACCACAACCACTAGCTGTACCCCCTGAGAACCCAAGTAATGCTCGAAAGTAAGATCAAGCGCAAAGGTGCGGTGGACATTGTTAGTGAAAAAAAAGGCCGAAGCAACATTTTTATAGCAGAAAACTGACGTGGTCCTCAACGTAGTTGTACACGGGTCTTTTGTCGATAATTTTCGCACAATTCACTCAGGTCAATTAACAGAACCTTTTTGGTTCAGTAGAGATGAATAATGTTCATCCCATGAGGAAAATATGGTTGGAGATGGTGGTTGAAGCTCTATGGTTACGGGAAGAATGAGATATTTGGAAATATGATAAGAAGGACAAACCTTTTGACGTGCACTGAAAGGTTGAGTTTGATCAAGCTTCGCTGAGATTGACTAAGAAAAGAACATTGGGTTACGGAGGAATCAAAGAGGTAACAATGAGAATTTTGTTCTTGCATTGATTTAGCACCGGTGCCGGTAAGAAAGACGGTTGCTCATTAATCGCATCTATAACCTTAGAAGCATAATGAAGAGGAAGGGATAGAGACAAAGTTTAGCATGATATTCTATACACTATAGCGATAAACTGTGTTTAAATGAATATCGTTTCCGTTCATCGATAACCCAACAAATCGTAAACTGCGATTCTAGGCTATATACATCCTTCGAACTGCAGTTGGTCCCTCTATATCAAAGTCCTGATTTGCATAACACGAAATTTGTGCCCACGGCAGTAGTATTATTGGCAAGAATCACTATTTATCGGTATAAATTGGACCAATAGTAGGGATATTAGGATGATCGTCAACAAAACGCAGCATCCACAGCGCAACGTATGTAAAAGTTGATGAGTCATAACATAAAATTGGTGATACAAACTCGTTGTATCAGAATTTTGCAGAAATGTTTCTTGCCTAGCATTACGCAATCAATCTGAGAAGTAACTTCCACGCTTTAGAGTAGGGTAGGTCATGGATCAGAGCTGCTTGCAGCACTGGGTATACCCAACCGCTAAACCCGGAAGGGTTCAAGGAGTTCACTCGAAAATTTGGTTGCATTCAATAAAAGTAAGAAAAAACGATAAATGAATTTGATAGCCGCTCACAGATCTGCTTTTGAAAACAAATACGGAGTGTATCGAAAAAACCCTCCAATCAAACAGTTTCGTCCAATCGCTTCAAAAGAAAAAAGGAAGAAATCGCATTATTGATACGAGCATGGTGTAAGTCTCCAAGAATTTGTACAACAACAAACTACTCACCGACAGAGATCAGTACCGGTTCGTCAACGTCGCTACTGCAAGAGGCCATTTCTAGGTCATCTTCACTTTGTACGTCCCTAATTCCTTCATCTTCCGAACAGTTGTTGGAGTTTGGTGGAACATGACCGATATCGTCGAAGACATCACCTGAAAAGGGATAACAAGGTCCATATTTAGGAAAGAAGGGTCACAAAAGAGAAATCGAGAAGCGGATTTATCTGTTGCAGAAAATTCCTAAAAATTTAGTAGAATGAAATAAAGAGATGCTCACCAATAGTCACGGATTCATCCAATTCGTATTCGGAATCAGAATCCGAGTACATTTTCACAGTACTGGTGGGAGAACAAGAAAACAGGCGAGAACACCTCAGCGATCGCAGCACTGTGCACGGCGCGACTGCCGCCGCCACACCGCGCGGGCCGCACGCGCGACGACCCTGCAGCGCGCAACTCGTACGCGGACAAAACAGATCGAGCAGAGCAAATCGTTCTTTTCTTTGAATGGAAGGCGTGGTCCTTTTCCATGGTATTTAAATGTTCTAAAAGACTTGCCTAGGAAGCTAAACCATGTATGCTGCGTGCAAGATCTCCACGCCGCTTAAAAAAGCTCTCAAAGCCAGCACTGAACCTCCGGATTGCACTTGACCACTATATTGATTTATGTGACCACCAGAAATTGCATATCAGGATTGCAGGATTGGCTATGGGACAGAGACTAGCGCCGACCTTGGCTATTGTTTTCATGTCAAAGGTGGAAGCCCCAGTTTTGGCGAGCAAGCCTCTGCTCTACTGTCGGTATACGTGGACGACTGCTGTATCGTATGTCCTACCCAGGCCGAGCTTGATGCGTGCTTCAATATCATGAACGCCCAGGACATTAACATCAAGTTGACGAGGGAGAAACCCAAAGATGGATGGCTGCCGTTCCTCAACGTACAGTTATGTTTATCGAACAGGGGTTTCAAGACCAGATGGTACCGGAAGCCTAGTAGCAAAAACATCTTAGTACACCATTCTTCAGCACATCCCGCACGAATAAAGGCCTCCATCGTGGGGAACATGTTTAGAACGGCTGCAGGGGTCTCTTCGGATAAGGACGAGAAGATGCGTTCGCTGGAGCTCGCAGAATCAGTAGCAAGATCTAATGGATACAGCACGAAAACTCGTCACCCTTACAGATACCGAGTCCATCGTACACTGCCTAGATCGGGAGCTGATGATCAGATCCCATTCTGTCTGCCATATATCTCAGAAGAGTTTAGTAGGGCTGTTCGCAGATTACTTCATCAAGCAGGCCTCAACGATATGGTAAGGATCGTCGACATTCCGCCCGCAAACCTTAAACAGCAGTTAGTACGAAACCGGGAGTATGATCGTCTCTGTACAACTCCTAATTGTGTGATTTGTCCATACGGAAAGGAAGGAGACTGTATGGTATCAGGTGTTGTCTACCTTATCACGTGTACATCATGTGGAGACACGTATATTGGCGAGACGGGTCGCCCCCTATGCACGCGCATCAAAGAACACTTAGATGGTCTCAACAAGGGCAACGTAGCTACTCCGTTAGGCATGCATCGCAGGCTCAGCCATGACGACGCGGAGGTGGCGGTGCAGGTTCGAATCCTGGCGCGTGAACCCGAAATCCTAGCGCGCAAGACACTCGAAGCGTTTTGGATAGCCGCCCAAAATCCAAAAATCAACCGGAAGGACGAGTGCCTAGCCATTACTAACGAGCTGTCGCCATATCAGAGCCTCTGTGGCTTTTGAATAATGGGGTCAGGTCAGAACCGGGTCACTAGTTAACTATAAAAGTAAAGCAGTACAGCTTTTTGACATAGTGGTCTGCACCCACCAAATTTTCATCTGCTAAGGTGAGCACTAGCTTAATCTTAGTTCTGGTTGAGGCTGTTGTTTTTCTTAAAGGGTTGGGCTCTTTTCTGTAGTCGATGAGGTGTTTGATCGGATAGTTTACTTATGTGGCTTCGACTTTTTCAGACTCTGAAGAAGGCGAGTTCGCCGAAACGTTAGTCTGTTATTCTGTGCGATAAAGTTCTGTACCAATCTTGGATTACGCTCAAGCAATTAACGAGAAAATTGCATATCTGTTTTTGGAGAACAAACTAGTGGACCAGTAATCAAAGGTGCTAGATTGCATTCGCGTGTGCCGCCACGCTATTTGCATTTTTTACGCTTTCCCGCTATTTGCACATTTTTGAATTGGGCTTACGTTTCTTTATACTCAGACACTCGGTGCGTGCAGCGCGCGCGCCTTTATGCTCAAGCCGGCAAAGCGCGTGCCATATTTTGGGGGCGTGTCCGGCACGGCGCCAAACGCGCGCCATACTAGACGCACTCGCGCCATACTTGACGCGAATGCAGAATTATCTGCGACACGCGTGCCTTTTTATATGAGAATACGCGGCGCGCGTGCTTTTCCGTTGTTATGTAGCAGCGCGAGCGCGATTTAGCTTTTAGCGCAGCGGTGCGCGTGCCCAAAAGGACGCCGAGTTGCTTTTTTGAAAATAACCTCATCCCCTGCCCCTGTTTTTTGAAGTTTTACTGTTATTTTTTACGAGTATTTGTCTTTATTTGTATCTAAGACTTTCATTTTGATTTTCTTTCTTGATTTGATGTATTTTTGTGAACTTACTTTAGCTGACTGTCGTTATTATTAGCCTTTCTTCCTTACTGACGAGTTCCGGGAAAGGCTTATTCTTTTTTGCATTTGTCCGTCTAAGGGTAGGAACGAAACGGACGAAGTCGTTCTTATCATACAAATGCCTTTAAATCAGCATGTAAATTTGCAATGCTGTCATTTATCACATCAAATGCGTATATGCCTCTAGCAATGTAGATTGAGGCCTGTTAAAATTATCGTTCGGCTCGAGGCGTATTGGCACCAAACATTTGAAAGTAGGTCAATTAAGAATAAACAATCCCTTACTAGTCAGTGCTTTATCTAGGCGAGGAGGTGGGGGTATGCCATTCAGCAGGCAGTTCCCGGCCCCACATCATGTTGGAATAAGGAAAATCTCTGGAAAATCTCCGCCAACCCTCCTTTCGTGAAGGTATATCTACAATAGTTCGGTGTTCTGCTACTATCTGACTTTGTGCTCGTTGGATATTATGAACCTCGTGATGGGGAAGTGGAATCCGAGAAGAAAGGACAACACCACCCAGAGCCTCACATCTCTGTATCGTTTCCTTTTACAGCAGGTAACTGTCGTAATTGTAGTATATGGTTATATGAAACGCAGTTTATATATTTTTTTAGATCACCAGCCCCCCTCAGCGAATTCAAGAATATTCGCTGAGGCTGGATGGAAGAAGCGGCAGGGACGCCAAACTCAAAAACCTCCCCGATGAGATTGAAACCACCTTGATCGGTATGCGGTTTTTCGGATAGGAAGTCTTCTACTTTTTTTGTTCAGATTTTGCTGACGATATGATGGGATACGGGTACGACGAACTGCTACCAGGCGCGGTTGTGGATTTTGAAAACTCGGAGTAAGGAAAAAAAAACTCGGACGAAATTATCGACGACGGGGCAGTAACAGGAGACGACGACGACCTATTCATTGCTGATGAGTGAAGTTCCGTGATAGCAATATTTTAACTTATATATGTTTATTGCATGTACATGATGCCATTCCGTTACATCTGTATTTGATTGTACACATTTGATCCACATTCTCATCATAAAATGTCTTTTAAAGCTTTAATTACATAAGTCCAGTCATTTTTCTGCAGAAATAAAGTTTTAAAAGGTTTAGTCCGCTGGAGGTTTAGCCGTTCAAATTTGGCGCGCGGTTCAATGATTAAAACGAAGCTGCGAAAATGCTGACCATTCGCGTGCCAAAATAGCAGCCATCCGCGTGCAAGAAATCGCAGCCGCTCGCGCGCTTAAAATCGCAGCCATCCGCGGACGATCATGCAGCGGCGCGGGAGTCAATAGCGCGCCATCCGCAGACTGGGTGTCGCGCCACCCTGCAACTGCGCGCGCGCTGCACGCACCGAGTGTCTGAGTATGTTAGATTAGATTATATATTAGATAGATTTCACTTGGGCTTGAGTCGGCACTTCCTCGCAGCCGTGCCACTGCTTTATCAGAGTACATGGCATAAGCATGACCTGCTGTGACATGAGCGTATTTGTTACCCAGATGCACGCCAAATTGCTTTTCCGCACGTTTAATCGTTAGCATTCTACCACTGCACATATGAGTGCACATCGTCTGACTCACAAGGGAAGTGCGTTTGGTCGAATTGGCCTTTTCAGATGAGACCCATACTTCTTTGATGAGCATTAAGCGGTGATTCCAAATCTGCCTTCCAAATCTGCTCAGCGCCTCTGGACGCCGAGTTATGACCGTTTTTAAGAGCGAAAAATGAATGCAAAATTTAGGTAAAATCGATTGTTACAATCTTTCCAGCGCTCGATAAAGCAATGTTAAGTTTTATCATATTAGACAAAATGTATCCATTGCATGAACGGCTTTGACACTTGACACTAGACCATTTGAGCAAATTTGGGCGATTTTGTCGAAGTTTTGCGTCCAATTTTTTTGCCTGAAAAAAACCCATAACTCGGCGTCCAGAGGCGCTGAGCTGATTTGGAAGGCAGATTTGGAATCATCGCCTAATGCTCTTCAAAGCAGCATGGGTCTCATCTGGAAAGGCCACTTCGACTAAACACACTTTCCTTGTCAGTATAGCTACTATAGCTTTATGTTTCTACATAACACAGGGAACCACCGATACTTCAGAATTGCAGGTGAAGGACTATATGTCGCCGAAAGAAGGTGGCCCCAGCAAACATCTGCGCCAAAGCATGCAGCTCCACATGCTGCAGGCATTACAGATTTGTACCAGCTGTCCGTACGAGGTGGAGCCTATCAGCGACAAATAGCTCTCCACCCGGATTGCGGTGATGTCAATGTTGTATTTGCTTCAACAGCAAATTTCAATTTTCTTCCTTAGCTCACGTCAAAAAGCACCTACAGTCTACCCTACCAGCCAGGCCAAAATTGGCATGGCGGGAGCCTGTGTTGCGAGAGTATTGCGTCGCGTTTACGGCTGCTAGTCTACTCTCAATCTCTCCGCTCTCTGCGACAGCGCGCGTATGCAGCGCAAACCCCTCGCGCTGCGAGCGCGCAAGTTCAGCAGACAGTTCGGCCTGATTTCAAGTGGGGAGGACTGTAAAGAGCAGATGAAACCCCTTCGCTTTCAATCCAGCTGAGAAACTGCAGAATTTCTGCTCAACGCAGGTTTTTGGAGCAAAATACATGTGAAGGCATTTCAAGGGAAAAAAGCAGATAATCAGTGCTTTTAGAGGTAGGACACAGCTTGACTAAAGTAACTGATACTTTTAGAATGTGCACCTTACCTTAAAAAATCCAGAAAATGGGAGATGCTTGAATGAGTATAAAGACCAACCATCAAAGGCAGTGTCTCGGCAAATTTTGCATTTCCAACTTCGGCATGTTTGAGGTCTTTTGGACACGTAGATCCCGACTTTGAGCTTTGAACCGAGTGAAAAGTCCGGGGCGGAAACGGGGCGTTTTTGGGGCGTTTACCCAGTTTCAAAGAGCACCTCGAACAAGAGTTTCAGCGGAATGCTGGGAGGTCATGCCACGAAGATGCTGCCATCTGCAACTTTGCTTTGGATAACATACAACGGGGGCGCTCGTGGGGTTCCGCACCGAACAAGCGAAGTCGTCCGATTGCGCGCCGACTGGTATTTTTCGGCGCAAGGGTAATATCAATTAGCCGGACTGGGCCTGGAAATCAGTGGGGTGACCGGAAACCCACCAGAGTTATATCCTACAGGACGCGAATCTGCCGGGACATTGCCTTTAAAGGCAGTGTCCCGGCAGATTCATTATTTTGAATGGTTTGGGCCTTTTCGACTCGTAGACCCCGAATTTGAGCTTTGAAAAGGGTGAAAAGGCCTTTTTCGGGGTGTTTACCCAATTTCCAAAAAGCATCGGACGAGAATTTCAATGGAAAGCTGAGAGGCCCTGGCACGAAGACCCTGTTGCCTGTGCTTTTTGCTTTGGGTAGCATGCACAATGCGGGAAGCGGTCGTGGGGGTCCCCCGCCTAACAGCGCAGTCGTCCGAGTGCGCGCCGACCGGGATTGCGCGCGCCGGTTTGAAGACTATTTTCACGGCCTGGAGGGGGGGGGGGGGAGATACCAACTAGCCGGACTGCGCCTGGAGGTCAGTAGGATAACCAAGAACCCCACCATGGTAATATGGTAATATCCTCCAGAGCGCGAATCTGCCGCGACACTACCTTCAAGCCTCTTTTCCAAAAATTTTGGTTTTTTCTTGAGTAATCAAACCAAAACGATGTTCTGATGACTGATAGTAGGCTAATAAACACACGGCTGTACCAAGTTTTGGAATATTTATTGACAACAGAGTGAGTTATGGCGTTTTTTAGGTGAACCTATAATTTTGTCCAGCAGCACTGTACGCAGGCAAATCTGCGCGAAGTAACCACGAATGCCTGAGCAGTAGTATATCGTGCAAGTTGTCTGGCAGTTATTGCAGGATCTCGTTTGGAGATGGTTCTCTCAGCCACAATTTCTCTTCGTTGACGCTGAAAATATGTTCAGCTACCCCGAATCGAAGTGCAATCCACACATGTCCAGAATGGACACTGCCTTTGCGCTCTATGAGCGTATCTTTAGGGATGAAGAAGGAACGAGCTGGGCTTGCGAGCAGCATCGTCTCATCCGGGCGGAGCAATTGCGAACTCGATAAATTGATGATCTACCTTATCCCATAACACTACCGTGATTGCCCGGGACTACCCGGACTACGAAATAACCAGCGGGTTAACAACACCTTTCATTATCAGAAAGAGTAAATGGCACTTATTTTCATGAGATGCAGGCGTGAAACCAAGATTGCTAAAATACTCCTAACTACTTTCTCAGTTTGAAGCGTTAATGTGATGTTTCGCTCAAGAGAAGTGAAGGAGATCGCTGTAAAAGAGTTACTATAAGAAAGTTCACTTTACAGTTTACAGTCTATTGCAATCTGGATAAGAGTAACGAAAATGCAAGCGTGGCGACTGAGCTGCAAATTTGGTAAAGGCAGTGAAGGCGGTCAAATTTCGGATTCCTTTATGTCGCATCGCTTGCTGATCTAGAGTCAGTTAAAAATTTGCCCGCTCCTTGTTTCCCGTTGATTTCTCGCGGTTTCATTGAGAAGATGATGTGAAGCTGCCTGTCACCTTGTGCATGAGAACTTGAGGCAGTGTCCGGTCAAGGTGGGGATTTTGGGATTTTAGTACCATGCGAAAGTGGCCCCCTTAGATTCAATACATTTGCAATTTCCGATTTTCATTATCTTGTTCTGTCTATCTTTATCTTATAGCAAACAGCATTAGAACTTTACTCTTGAAGACCCCTCACGCTATGGAATGTGCCTCAACGAGAACGAATTGAATGCTCAAACATCCTCGGTGTCCAAAATGTGTCAAATTTAACACCTTCGCTAAGAACATTTCTTGCTGACTGCTGATATACTTTCTCAAACCTTTGGCATAGTCAATAAATTACATTTTTGGCTAGCTCTTGATCACTCTAGGTCATTTTGAAAGTGGCAAAATTCTTCAATCAATTTTAGAATGGGCTTTTAGTTCGAAACTCCTACATACCAAGTATCTACTTATCGGCTATCAAGAGAGAAAGGCATAGAAAAGTGATGAAGCATGGTCGATCTGCCACTTGGACATTTTGGTACTCCTGTTTACGTGGCATTCTCAGGATTTTGGAAGGAGAGAATTTAGTAAAAAAATGAGCCTCAAAAGTCGTGACAGAAAGGAACCCGCTTGCTGCCCCAAGGTAGGGTCATGATCTAGTCCAGAAGCGAAGTCCAGTGTTTCTTTAGAAAGGTAAAGGCTACTGCATGACGAAGGCTCAATAGCAGTATTGGTTGAGCGGACGCGAACGCGGCGCGCGCGTATCCTCACCGTTCTAAATCCTGCCCGTCCTGCGCTCTGCGGCTAATAAAGTCGCGTTCGCGCCCAAAGATATTGCGCCTTCGTCATGCAGCAGCTTATAAATACATCAACTAGAATTGTGCGAAGAATGAAAGGAAGGGTGCAACAAATCTGATTTTGCTAAGAAAGTCATGTGAGTCATTTACAGATTCTTACTTGACTTTCTCATTACTTTTAATATGTATTCTGAGTTATCGGTCAGGCTTTTAGGGTTCCTTCATACTACGCCGCTGGTATGGTATTAAAAAGGCAGGCTGCTACATCTGTACTCGTTAGCGATCTTTCTGCTTTCTCATGCTGTAAAATTTCTTCGAGAACGCGACTCTTTCTCTCCCCTAGAGCAGGAAATGAAGGCGTAGAACATGGCGTAAATATGTCAGACTATGCCTATTTTATGTGCAGTGCCCTCGAGTACTCAACGCGGCAGAATGGGTGATTCCGACTCCCGCAGCAGGTGGAACGTATGGCGACCTCTATGCGAACAAATTCTTACAAGA